GTAGATTCTGAATACTAGTCTTTTGTCAAATGCGTAGTTTGCGAATATTTTCTCCTACTCTATGGGTTGTCTGCTTACTCTACAAATTTGTTTTTTTTTTTTCTTTGCAGAAGCTTTTTTAGTTTAATTAGTTTCCATTTATTTATTTTTGTATTTGTTGCATTTGCTTTTGGGATCTTAGTCATGAATCCTTTGCCTAAGCCAATGTCCAGATGAGTTTCTCTGATGTTATCTTCTAGAACTGTTATGATTTCAGGTGTTAGATTTAAATCTTTGATCCATCTTGAGCTTATTTTTGTATAAGGTGAGATGGGGATCCAGTTTCATTTTTCTACATGTGGCTTACCAGTTTTCCAAGCACCATTTATTAAATAGGGTGTCCCTTCCTCAGTTTATGTTTTTGTATGCTTTGTCAAAGATCAGTTGGCTATAAATATTCGGCTTTATTTCTGGGCTCTCTATTCTGTTCCATTGGTCTACATGCTCGCCCCTCCCTTGTTTTTTTTTTTTTTTGAGACGGAGTCTCGCTCTGTCGCCCAGGCTGGAGTGCAGTGGTGCTATCTCAACTCATTGCAAGCTCCGCCTCCTAGGTTCACGCCATTCTTCTGCCTCAGCCTCCCGAGTAGCTGGGACTACAGGCACCCACCACCACGCCTGGCTAATTTTTTTTTTTTTGTATTTTTTAGTAGAGACAGGGTTTCACCATGTTAGCCAGAGTGGTCTCAATCTCCTGACCTCATGATTCACCCACCTCGGACTCCCAAAGTGCTGGGATTACGGGTTTCAGCCACTGTGCCCTGCTGGTCTACATGCCTTTTTAAATAACAGTACCATGCTGTTTTGGTAACTATATCCTTGTTATATAGTCAGGTAATGTGATGCCTCCAGCTTTGTCCTTTTTGCTTAGTATTGCTTTGGCATGAAGTTTCCTTTCTGGTTCCATATGAATTTTAGGATTTTTTTTTCTCTAGTTTTGTGAATGATGATGGTATTTTTCTGGAAATGACACTGAATCTGTAGATTGCTTTGGGTGGTATGGCCATTTTCACAATATTGATTCTTCCCATCCATAAGCATGGGATGTGTTTCCATTTGTTTGTGTCATCTATGATTTCTTTCAGCAGTGTTTTGTAGTTTTTCTTGTAGATATTTTTCACCTCCTTAGTTAAGTATATTCCTAAATATTTATGTATATGTATTTGAAGCTGTTGTAAACAGGATTGAGTTCTTGATTTAATTATCAGCTTGGTCATTGTTGGTGTATAGCAGTGCTACTGATTTGTGTACATTGATTTTGTAACCTGAGACTTTACTGAATTCATTTATCAGATCTAAGAGCTTTTTGGATGAGTCTTTAGGGTTTTCTAGGTATAGAATCATATCATCAGTGAACAGTGATAGTTTGACTTCTTCTTTTCCAATTTGGATGCCCTTTATTTCTTTCTGTTCTCTGATTGCTCAGGCTAGGTCTTTCCGGGGTATCGTTTTAAAAAAACATTTATCAATAATTGAACACAACTATCTTTTCTCACTGAAATAATTGTGCCTCCTTTAAATACTATACAGAACATCCCTCAAACCATATGAATCTTTTTTTTATTATAACAATGACCATCACAGTTATATGAATTTTCCTCTATGATTTTAAGTGAGATACACCTGAGTCCTAGGACATCTTCTCCCTTGTTGGAATGTTTTGGAATTGTTGGTTGATTGGGTTTGGATGATGTATTAAAGAGAGATATTCCCTGCGTACATAGATGGTATTGCAGTGTAAACGTTTGTGAACAATCTAAATATTCACTGCATTAGTTTCCTAAGGCTGCCATAACAACATACCAAAAAATGGCAGCTTAAAACAAGAAAAATTAATCATCCTACAGTTCTGGAGGCTAGAAGTCAAAAAGCAAGGCATTAGCAGAGACAAACTCCCTCTTGAAACCTTTAGAGCAGAATCCTTTCTTGCCTCTTCCAAGCTGGTGGTGGTTTGTCAGCAATCTCTAGTATTCTCTCCTGTGTCTGCATCTCTGTGTCTCTGTCTCTTATAAAGACATCAGCCATTTCAGCCCAACTTAATTCAGTACGCCTCATCTTAACTTAATTACATCTGCGAAGACTCTATTGAAATGAGGTCACATTCACCAGAACTGAAGGTTAGGATTTTAATATATCTTTTTGGGAAACACAAGTCAATCCATGACATTCATCAGTTGGAAAGTCATTAAGTAGAGCATGTTATAATTATAATATAAAATGTCATGAAGTAGACCTATATGTACTGATATGACAAGATATCAAAGACCTATTGTTAATAGAATAAAAAGGTTGCAGACCAATATGTAAAATATGGCCCTATGTGTGTAAAAAAGATCTGTCTTTATATCTACATAATCTATGTAACTATCTTATTTTTATCTTTACTCATGTTTATATCTATACTCATATTATTTTCTCTCTTCTGTGACACTATCTATGGAGAGAAGAGTAGGCAAATGGAGAAGAATGAACAGTCTTTCATAATATGAATCTTATCATGTATTACTGGTATAGTTTTTCATTTATTAGAGAAAAAACATAAATCACCAAAGAAACAGTGATGGACAGAGATAGGAAAGATTTTTTTTTTGGTGGTTGTCTTAAATTAGCTTCATTTTTTCTTTTTTGAGACAGTTTTGCTTTGTTGCCTAAGCTGGAATGCAGTGGCACGATCTTGGCTCACTGCAACCTCCGCCTCCCAGGTTCAAGAGATTGTCCTGCCTCAGCCTCCTGAGTAGCTGGGACTACAGGAACGCACCACCACATCATCTTATTTTTGCATTTTTAATAGAGATGGGGTTTAACCGTGTTGGCCGGGATGGTCTCGAACTCCTGACCTCAAGCGATCCCACCTGCCTCGGCCTCTCAAAGTGCTGGAAAATTAACTTCATTCTTATTCATTTCAGCAATGTAGACAAATCATTTGTGGTTTCTGAAACTTTCCTTCTTTTCTAAATCTACAAAAGTTATTTGCTGTTTTTTCTCTCAGCCTCATAATTCACTTTACTTACATAACCATTTGAAAACTTGATTGAAGTATCTCAAAGAAAGGAAATGAATGCGGTGATATATTATCACTTGAGTTTAGTATCTGGAACTTGCTTATGTGTGAACAAGGTCTTTCAATTACAGTGAAGGGAAGCAAAAAATGTTGAGGAGGTGGTATTTCAGTTATATATAAGTTTTTAATCTCTACCAAACCCTATTATATACATAGCATTCCTTTTTTTCTCCCCCTTCCTCCTCCTCCTCCTCTTTTTCACTTCCTCTTTCCTTTCTCTTCTTTCATTTGCTCTGCTCTCACATTGCCCGATCTCATTACATTTAAACTTTTCTTTTTACCTTCCATTAAAAAAATCCAACATTGAAACTCCACGGGAAAATAAAATATTTGAAGCTTTCTAATGTCTTTTTGTTGTCTATCTTTTCATTATGGATATTTTCAAATATACACACAAAAGAGGGAATTTACAATAATAACCAAACACATACTCTTACGTGGCTATCAACCAGTTTCGATGGTTACTAACATTTTCATATTCTAAGTCCATGCATAAACATTGTATTTTATTTAACTTTCTGTTGGAATATTGAAATAAAATCACAGATATCATACATTTCAGTTGCAAATATTTCAGTTTGTATTTGATATCTTTTTCAAAACAAAAGACTTCACTGACTTAGGAATACTTTCTCAAACATAGGATTTAGGACCCTGTCAGAGACCCCAGGGGATGGGTAAAGTTAACTGCTTGGATGGTTCTTAGAAGCCTGGAAAAAGTGTTAGCCCTGCTGAGTGAAACTGAAATGCTTGAGTTGCTAAGGCAGATTTTAGAGGAAGCAAAAATGCTGAGGGAGGTGAGCATGCTGGAATGGATATATTATGAGATCAGAAGACTCATCAGAGGATTACCTTACATGGAAAGACCCAGAGAACACTCTATTCATTCAGGCCATTGGGTATGGCTCAGAGGGGCAGCCAATGAGAGCGATAGCCACAGGGGTTCCTGCCTACATTTACCATCCAAAGAAGACAAGAAAAAAGGAACTGAAGGATGGGAAATGGCTGCTAAATAAAACATCATGATTCCTTGTTCAGCTGACTTTTCCATACTTAGCCAATTGTCAAATTAGGAACTCAATAATTTTAGGGATGGCCAGATCAAGAAGAAAAACCCTGCAATACCATTGCACGTATATACTATAAAAGTATCTCTAGGCCTTCCCCAAATGGACTTAGGGCCATTTACTCGGGTCACAATACACTGTACATAGGGGAAATGACAATGTCCAAATATTTTTGAGGACTAGTGGACACAGAGTCTGAGTTGACATTGACACCTTGAATCTTGAAGGATCATTGCAACTTCCTTCTTAGTGTGGAGACACCAGGGAGACAGATAAAATATGGAGTGCTGTGTAAAGCCTACCTTACAAGGGACCCATTCCTTGTCACTAGTGTATAATTGGGATTGCCATAGTTGCCAACAAACCTTCACTGGAGTTTTTGACTTGTGGGTTAAGATCTACTATGTGGGGAAATGACAAGCGTAAGACTTGAAACTGTCTCAAATGCAAGACAAGATGTTAAATATAAAACTATTCTGGTGTGTATGTATAAAAACTACTGTCAAACTTAAAGATCTAAAAAATGCATGGGTGGAGGTTCCTATCGTATCCATCTGGTTAGCCACTATGGCCCCTGTAGAAATTGGATGGTTGCTAAAGAATCCACTATTCCACTGTTAGCCAAGGGACAGCCCCAACTACAGCTGCCATGCCAGCCATGGTATCATTGGTAGAGCAGAGTAATTATGTCTCAGGGATATCCTATGTGGTCTTTTATTTGGTAAATGTGTTCTTTTCCATTCTCAGTAGAACAGAAACAATGTGCACCCGTGTGAACAACAGTTAATTTAGTGTTGCCTTAGATACTAACTCTACTACTTTCTGTCATAACATAGTTCAAGGAGATTGGAACCACCAGGTCCATCTGGATATCCCACAGAAGACCACACTGACCCATTATTACACTGATGACATCATGCTGATTGGGCAAGACAAGCAAGCGGTAACTAGGTCTTGGTAATCCAGAGGATGGAAGATACATTTATGGAGACTTATGGCCTTGACACATGGGTAAAGTTTTTAGGGAGCATACTCAGGAGTGTGTCAGGATATCTCTTCCAAAATAAAAGATAAATTGCTGCACAATGCCTAATGGTCCTCTTTTGGTTCTAGAGGCAGTATATTCTATACCAAGAAGCTGTGCCCTGGCCCATATACACAAAAGGCTATCAGCTATGACACAGCACCCTTGCCCCTTGCACCATATGGTCCAGTCAACACGATGCTATTGGAAATACGCTATGTTTAAAAAAGATTCATTATGGAATTTATGGCCAGCACCAGTGAAATAATTACAATGCAGGCTTCTGTTGTTCTGGAGAAAGACCAAGCCATATGCAGTAGAGAATGATATACTTTCTGAGAAACAGCCCCTGGAGTGCTACTGAGTCCTTGTAGAATACTTAATCATGGGTACCAAGTGACCATGCATCCTTAATTTCTTATTATGATCTGGGTTCTGCCAGACCTGCCAAATCATAAGGCCGGAGAAGCCAGCTGTGGCTCATTGCACAATAGAAGTAGTATGTCCAGAATTAAGACTTTAGAGATCAAAATGATATACCCAGGATCATGTAAGTAGGGATGCTTTAATAATGGAAACAGGCACAAATATACGGTATTTCAAGGAATACAGAATCCAAGGGATCCAAGTGGATCCATTTTGTTACTTTCTTACCCACTTGTAATTGTGAATACACAAATGCTGCAACTCTGTCCTGAGGACAGTCTGATTATCAGAGTCTCAGACCTTTCAGAAATGAGGCTTTGGGTAGTATTATCAGGTAAGCATTAAAACTCGCAGCAATGATAGCAGAGGGTAAGGAGAATTGAGGATGGATAGTGAAGTGGGGAGACAGTCAGCCCCAGTCGCAGCCCATGGTCAGCCGTAGTGGCAGGGGAAACAAGTTTGTCTTACTAACTTTCCTTTTCTACGTTTCCCTCAGGAAGGAAGGCCCACAGAAGCTGCCGTGTGAACATGTGTGGAGATGTGAATCCATACAGCACAAAGGGTGGACTGTGACACCTATGAGGTGTGTTGCACAGATATTTTTAAGAGAGAAGCTACTGTAAGGATGATCGTTAGCTGACAGCCTCCAACTGCTTTGGGATCTACTGCTGCATTCAGCCCAAAGTCATTCTTTACTTAGCTTGCTCTCAATCAATGAGTAAGCATGACAGGGGTACTGGAGCCAAGCTTTTTCTTTCCTGTGTCTGGCAATCTTTGCTCTGAGGCTCCAATCAGCCTGGCTGACGCTGCCTTAGAGCTGCATTGCAGCCTGACATTTTCCCCTCTCTATCCTCCTTCTTTCCTCTTATTTTTCTGTACATATCAGATCTGCGTGATGGTCTGAGACTCTTCCTGTATACTTCTGTTTTCTCTCCCCTTTTATTTTTGCCAATGAATGCTTTGTACCTCTCATTTCATCTTGGTGCCTGCTTCCTGGAGGACCCAAACGGATGAAATATACTTGTTTTAATTTTAATGTAATTACTGATATATATTTATTATCCTGATGTTTGCCTTCTAGTTGTCTTAACTATGTTTAATCTCTTTTTCCTTCTTTTGACTTGTTTTAAATTATATTTTATTCCATACATTTAAAGTATTAAATTTACTTATAATTATCTATGTTTTTATTATTGTTTAGCTGTTATTGATCCAGAGAGTACAGTCTGCAATCCTGAGTTATTAAAGTCTAATATAAATTAATACATGGACATGTTTTAGACAATGTGAAGACTCTGGAAGACTTTAACTCCATTTATCCTGTTCTCAAATTATGTGGTGTCATTTTCATATATTTCATTCTCTCTTTATTTTTCTTCATATTTTATTTTAATCCCCACTAAGATATATCCCCATACATACTGTTTATTCAGTCTGTGTTCACTTACCCACAAATTAGCCTTTCTACTTGAATCATTTTCCTTCTATCTGCATAATGACATTTGTTATTTAGTGCAGCTTTGTTCATGAAAAATTATCTCAGTTTGTGTTTCTCTTAAAAAATTTATTTTTATCAGTTTTGTTTTTGGCAGGTATTTTTTTCTGTATATAGAAATCAATATAGCAGATGTTTTCTTTCTGTTCTTTTAAAATATAATTTTATTGTCTTTGGCTTCTATTATTTCTGCCTAGAAATCAGCTGTGAGGTTAATTTGTTAATTAAAAGGTTAATTCCTTTGAAGGGTTTTTTTTTTTGGCTTTACAACTTTCAAGTTTTTGTTTTTGTTTTTGTTTTTTCTGTCTGGTTATTAACCGCTTGACCATGATGAACCTACATGTGATTTAACTCTAGTTCAGCATTATTCCTAGGGTGTAGCTCTATAAAATTTCCATAAAAACCATGTGGTATTTCTTGGGGATCCTCTTGTGTGTGATCACTGAACTCAAATTTTTGTAGCCTCATGAATTGGTGTAAAGCTCTGCTCAGCTTCTCGGCCCTCAGCTGCCATTTTCAGAGTTGTCAATTCCCTTAAGGGGAAGAGCTTAGCTCTGCGGGCCTCTTTCCTCTGCTTAGACCGTGGCACCCCAGATCTTCACTTTCTTGGGACCTTTCTTATGCTTTTACATAAACTGAAAAAAAATGCCATACTTCTGAGTTGTTCTCAGTTGGAAGGATAATCTGAAAAATCTGTTGCCAGAAGCAGATTCCTATGTGAGGCACTCAAAGCAGTGTGCAGCCCTATGCAAACATCACCCTTATCACAATACAACTCAGTGATGTGGATTTACTTTCATTTGTTCTGTTCGGCACCAAGAATTTTCCTCCTGATGACTTCTGTTTTTCTTTAATTCAGCAACATTTTCAACCATGTACTCTGTTCTTTAATTTTGGAAAAATTATGAGGTATATGTTGGAGTTTCTCAATCTATTCTCCTTATTTCGTATCTTCTAAGTTTTTTTTCTTTCTTTATCCTCTGTATTTTGTTTTGGGTACATTCCTAACTACTGTCCCCCATTTCACCAATTCTCTCATCAGTTGGATTCTTATCCTAACCTTTCTTGTTTCAGTGATTGTATTTTTCATTCCTATGATTTTAGTTTTCCTCTAGCTTTACTTGTTTTTCATTCATATCTTCCTGTCTTTGCTCCATAATTATTAATTTTGCTTTTGGAAGTGAGAGGAAGACTCAGGGAGATGAAGGGAAGTTCACAAAGGAATCTCCAGCATTTGGCACTATGTTTATTTCTCTTAGGGTGTTTGCTAATGCCAGTGTCTAGAAATTGAGAAGCTAAGTGGAGTTTCAGTGATTTAATGGGGTTCAAGTAAAAATTGCAGTTTCCCCCTATATTTTCCTAGTGATTTGTTGTATTAAATAAGTCAGTCAACTTTGGTGACAAAAGTACTCAATATATTTTAGCTGGCATTACTTTGTGTCAATATTGTTATCATTTTTATTATATTTCTTTTCCTCCTCCTCATAACTATGAGGATTTTAAAGCCCCTCTTAGAAGAATGCTTTAATATTTGCTATTATTTTAGAATAATTTCTCCTGTCTTTTGATCTTTATGATGCTCGTCGTTCTCATGCGCTTGGAGATTTTCATTTCCAAGTTCATCTTGTGTAGAATTTATGTGTATGTTTATGCACACATGTATGTGTTTTCTCCCTCCTCTCGCCCTGCACATATCTCTGTGCTTGTATTTTACAACTGCCTTTGCCCAGTATGCTGAAATCCTCAGCTTGGAATCAGACCTTATTTTGGTGGCATGGGTGTGTCATCCTGAAAGATTATCAGAGTCATTTCGTAAGTCAGCAGGTTTGCTTGACCCAAGTTTGGAATCTTAAATGTTGATACTCTCTCTAGCATGGATGGACCTTTTTATAAAGACTTTGGCCATGGCAAGGAGCCCCGGTCACCCCTGGATTCATGCTACAAAACTCACCCTGATGTCTAAAATGTGTTTGGGATTTATGGTTTTTAATCAACCACCCAGAAGTTGATCACCTACATATTTGTTCTGGATTGATCTGGAAGCTCACGAGGTCTGGGGTTCTAACCCAATTTAATTATTTCTGATTTATGAATGTCTAGTTAATATCATTTTAAGCACAATTACAACTTGCAAAATATATGCACATATTTTATCATTGCTACGGGTAGATTTTCAAGTTGTTTATTTAATGGGTAATCTTATACTACTACTTTGACTAGAATCAAATATTGCTATTATTATCAGTGGTAACAGTAGTAACAGTAGAAGCAGTAGTGGTAATTATCACAGTACTGGTTCACACTAAGCTTGTCATCACCTAAAAGTCTCAGATTTTTTAATATGAATTATTCTAAAGTCAGTGTTTGATTTCCTATATGCGCACGATGTACACTCATATATTTTTCTAAGCAGAAGGGCAGAAACTACCAAATTCAGCTGGGAAGCCATACAGCTAAAATATTTCTTGACAGTTTTGTAATTTCTAAATTACAAATTAATAGTTAAGAATAAAGCATATAATCCAGATGTTTTGTCAAAGGCAAGTACATGGATCCCTGCTAAATTTGGTTCTATATTAATATATTTAGAAATTACAAACTGTTAAGAAATATTTTAGCTGGATGGCTTCCCAGTTGAAACATAAACATTTTCTTTAAGCAAAAGTAATTTCATGAAATAGATGTAAAATAGTTTCTTCTGTGTCAATTTTTTTTCCCAAAGGTTTATTGTTAAATACCCATATGATAAAATTGCTGGCAGCTTCTTCTTTGTTTTCATCCTTTTCTTCCTCTTTCTATTGTTTCTTCCCTCCGTGATGAGGTTGAGATTCCCAGCATCATATCTTTCGGGAAAAATTAATGTATCAGGCAAGATAATCCCATTAATTAATTTGGTTTTTAGTTGTAAAGTGTTGTATTAATCATAATCCTTGCATTGCAGTACATTTGAATCATTAGTTTAGTTAGTTAGGCATGGCCCTGTTTTAGTTCTTTGTTTATGGAATAAAATTTGAACCTCTATGTTAAATATAAATATTTATGAATATTTATATTAGAAACACATTGTAATTAGAAACACATCACTGGCCAGGTGCGGTGGCTCATGCGTGTAATCTCACCACTTTGGGAGGCACAGGCAAGTGGATCACCTGAGGTCAGGAGTTTGAGACCAGACTGGCCAACATGGAGAAACCTCATCTCTACTAAAAATACAAAAATTAGCTGGGTGTGATGGTGCATGCCTGTAATCCCAGCTACTTGGGAGGCTGAGGCAGGAGAATCGCTTGAACCCGGGAGGCAAAGGTTGCAGTGAGTCGAGATTGACCCACTGCATTCCAGTGTGGGTGACAGAGTGAGGCTGTGTCTCAAAAAAAAAAAAAAAAAAAAAAAAAAAAAACAAAAGAAAGAAAGAAACAAGAAATACGTTGCCTTTTTCATTAAGTGGTTAAGCAAAAAGAGGGTACTTAGACAGGAATTGCCTATCTTTTGCTTATGTTCAAAGGCAAAATAACATGGTACCAAATATATTTGCATCTAATTAGCAGGCAAACTGTATCTAATAATCTGTTTCAGTTTCATCAAGAAAGTGGTTGAAAATATTTTAAAAATTGAATTTGGATGCCTCCTGGTGGTATATATACTGCAGGTTCATCAAAGGATGCACCCACCCCATTCTCTATCATCATACAACTTGATCTTTATCCATCTTAAGTTTCCTAGCTCTGAAAACATTTTCATTTGCTACTTATGTTGAAACTCACATAATTAGTTAATTGATCACTCTTGGAAACTGGACTTCTAAACACAATTTTTTTGTGTGTGTTGTCTTTAAAATATGTATAGAGGTAATACTACTGAACACAGTTCCTAAAGAAAAGTTAATTTAGTATAGTAGAGAGTACTGGACTAAGAGTCAGGAGACCTATATTCTAGTGCTGTAGTGCTTGTTTTTTTTTTTTTTTGAGACAGAATATTGGTGCGAAGCCCATGATGAAGTGCAATGGCACGAACTTGGCTCACTGTAACCTCCACTTCCTGGGTTCAAGCAATTCTCCTTCCTCAGCCTCCTAAGTAGCTGGGACTACAGATGCATGCCACCAAGCCTGGCTAATTTTTATATTTTTAGTAGAGACAGGGTTTCACCATATTGGCCAGGCTGGTCTTGAACTCCCAACCTCAAGTGATCCACCTGTCTTGGCCTTCCAAAGTGCTGGGATTACAGGCATGAGCCACCATGCCCAGTCTCTAGTCCTTGTTTTGCTACTAACTAGTTGGTAATCTTAGGAAAACCCCTGAACTTCAGTGGGACTTTCCTTATGCTCCCTATTCTATTTTATTACCAATTTACTGCCTCTTGCTTAACCAGCAACCTGAGAGTTATCTTTGATGGCTTTCTTTTTCCAGTCAATTACATTAAATCCATCAGAAAGTCGTGTTGGTTCTACCTCCAAAATATATCTTGAATCCTCTACAACAATCCCAGTCAAAGCTACCATCATCTCTCACCTGGATAAGAGTTATAGCTCCTTACATGGTTTTCTTGATACTGCTTTTTAAAATGCAAACTGGGTTATTTTACTTTCTTACTTAAAACCATGACTTAGAATTAAAAATATACATATATTTTTTACCATGACCTAG